TGCCTCTGAAGAGGAATGGAACACACTGCAGGGTCTCCGATGTTCAGTGCAGAGAGGGAGCATGATTTGAATGGGAAGAGGCTAGAGCAGGGCAATATCTGGTTTTCAACACTGCGATCTATCACCAGCCTGAACATCACGATATACCAATATATCACAATGCCTGAAATAAGGATGGAGCTATGTAGAGGCACTGGCTGGCTTCACGGTTTTTCCCGCATCGTGATTTTTGCTGGTGCCTGCAGGAATCAAGAGACGCATTGGCTGGCTTCACGGTTTTCCCCACATTGTGATTTCCGCATAGCACACACACACACACACACAAACAAACACATCATGATTCGCAAAACAGTGGTACCTCTGGATGAGAATGGGATCCGTTCCAGAGCCCCGTTCGCATTCTGAGCAGAACGCAACCCGCGTCTGTGCATGTCGCAATTCACCGCTTCTGCGCATGCACATGACGTCATTTTGAGCGTCTGCGCATGCACGAGCAGCGAAACCCGGAAGTAACCTGTTCCATTACTTCTGGGTCGCCGTGGAACGCAACCTGAAAATGCTCAACCTGAAGCATATTTAACCCGAGATATGACTGTACAGTGTACCTTGATTTTTGAACGTAATCTGTTCCAGAAGACCATTCAAGTTCTGAAATGTTTGAAAACCGAAAACTCAACAACCGACAGCTAGGCCTCAGGATCTCGCACTCAGCAGAAGCCAGGTGGCATGTTCGACTTCCGAGGTGTGTTCAAAAACCGAAACACTTACTTCCAGGTTTATGGCGTTCGTAAACCGAAATGTTCGTCAACGGAGACGTTTGAAAACCAAGGTACCACTGCATATTGCCAGGTCAAAAATTATGAAACCAGTATCACAATACACTGGTACCTTGGTACTTGAACGGCTTAGCTCCCGAACGATGCAAACCTGGAAGTAAGTGTTTTGGTTTGCGAACTTTTTTTGGAAGCCGAACGTCCAACACGGCTTCCGCTTGAGTGCAGGAAGCTCCTGCAGCCAATTGGAAGCCGTGCCTTGGTTTTTGAATGGTTTCGGGAGTCAAATGGACTCCCGGAACAGATTAAGTTCAAGAACCAGGGAACCACTGTATAGACTTCAAATCGATTTATCGCCCAACCCTAGAAGAAACTGCCCTCCAAACATCCTGGTCCCATGCCAGGGGGACTCTGGTCCCACTGCCTTGCCAGAGTGGTGCATGCTCTGGTTATCTCCCGCTTGGACTACTGCAATGCGCTCTACGTGAGGCTACCTTTGAAGGTGACCTGGGAACTACAACTAATCCAGAACACGGCAGCCAGACTGGTGACTGGGAGCGGCTGCCGAGACCATATAACACTGGTCTTGAAAGACCTACATTGGCTCCCAGCACAATTCAAAGTGTTGGTGCTGACCTTTAAAGCCCTAAACGGCCTCGGTCCAGTATATCTGAAGGAGCGTCTCTACCCCCATCGTTCTACCCGGACACTGAGGTCCAGCACCGAGGGCCTTCTGGCGGTTCCCTCACTGCGAGAAGCCAAGTTACAGGGAACCAGGCAGAGGGCCTACTCGGTGGTGGCGCCCTCCCTGTGGAACGCCCTCCCACCAGATGTCAAAGAGAACAACAACTACCAGACTTTTAGAAGACATCTGAAGGCAGCCCTGTTTAGGGAAGCTTTTAATGTTTGATGTATTACAGTATTTTAATATTTTTTTGGAAGCCGCCCAGAGTGGCTGGGGAAGCCCAGCCAGATGGGCGGGGTATAAATAAATTATTATTATTATTATTATTATTATTATTATTATTATTATCAGTATAGGCGTGTTTACCGGGGACTCCAAGCTAGCCACCAACAGTCCTTCCATGGCTGCACATGGAGGTTCATTGTGAAAAAGTCTCAGCCCCACTGCTTTGTAGACAGCCAGCACCATGCTACTGCTGAATGTAATCACAGCCAGGAGAAGCCGGTGGTAGCAGCTGTACAGCAAGTGTGATCTAACCACTCAGGACACTGGAAGTATGGGATCTCTTGTCCACTTTTCCGCATGCAAGCATATAACCGGTGTGGTATTCTGCCTTGTGCCACTTTCTGAGCACAGAAGACTTTTGCTCCTTCAGGGTATATTCTCCCTAAATCTGGGCATCTAATTCCTCAAGCCACAAGGAAGAAGGCACATTTCTGCTATTGCACCACATTAGTGCAGAGATCAAGACTGCACTCAGCACTCAGTAACCAGAAAGAGACAACAGATCATACATGTCTTTTCCTTTTCTATTTTTTTTTTAAAGAAGCCCTTAGGGAAATAAAAGCAGGCTTGATTGCTGGGGAAATCTTGAAAGCCAGCAAGGAGATCCATCACCCCAGTGGTAGGACAGTGCCTGCACAACGTAACACCCCCCCCAAAAAAATATTTCTCTGCCCCGGGTCAAATTCTGGTCCATGCCCAAGTAGTCATCTCCCACCTTGACTGTTGCAGCAACCTCAACTTCAGACTTCCTCGTTCCCTCCGTCATCTCGCTTCTATTCCAAACCTCTGCTGTCAAAAATATTTACCTCTCTTGTCACTCAGAGCATGTGATGTTCCTTTTGGTGCCTTTTGTTGGCTTCCCATCCCCTTTGGGGTCCTTGTCCTTACATTTAAAGAGTTCCGTGGCCTTGCCCCACCTTGCTTCCCTTCTGCCTCTTTTGTTTTCCCTCTTTATATTCCTGCTCCTTTATATTCTCTTTACGTCTCTCCTCCAGCTCTCTCACCTTCTCCGCCTACTGAAGGTCTCTTCCCGCTCTCTCAAATGATCTCTGCCTGTTCCCCCTTGCTGCTCCTTACATGCGCAGCTGCCTCTCTGTGATGTGTACATGGCACCACCGCTCTCCCTTCCTTCAGATCCATCCTCCTCAAAACCCCACTTCCCCCACACGGCCTTTGACTTATCCTCTTCATCTCCATTCCCAGTTATAAACAAGGTTCAGGTAACAACAGCTCACATTTCTCTTTCCCTCCCTGTATTGTTTCCAACTACCTCGGTTCTCAAACGCCTTGGTTCTCAAACTCCGAAAACCTGGAAGTAAGTTCCAGTTTTCGAACGTTTTTTGGAAGCTGAACATTCAATGCGGCTGTCAGCTATTGTTTCCGGGGCACCTGCACCAATCAGAAGCTGTGCCTTGGTTACTGAACATTTCAGAAGTCAAATGGACTTCCGGAACTGATTAAGTTTGGCACTTTTGTTTTTGCTATTTATTTTGTGTTTTTGTTTTTGAGGCTTTTTCAATTAATTTTTGTGACTGTGTGGAACCCAGTTCAGCTACTGATTGATTGATTGTGTGACTGCGGAAATGGATAAAAGTCCCCCATCCAAACAATGACTATCATCAGTGCAGGTAAGAAAAACAATTATTTTTAGTTTTTATCATCTACGATACCGTCTTATTTATTTTATAGTACAGTACATTGATAATTGCTTTCATTTTATGGATCAATGGGCTCGTTAGATAGTAAAATTCATGTTAAATTGCTGTTTTAGGGGTTGTTTTTAAAAGTCTGGAACGGATTAATTCGTTTTGCATTACTTTCTATGGGAAAGTCCGCCTTGGTTTTGGAATGCTTTGGTTTTGGAACGGACTTATGGAACGTATTAAGTTTTAGAACCAAGGTACCACTGTATCTGTAAGTTTTAGTCTATAAGCCCTATAAACAGATACCCATCTCTGTTGCCCAGTACTATTTTCTAGAAAAAGAGGTGCCAGAACTCACCATGAACACCTCTCTCATTCTCTTAGAATGGCAATAGCACCCACCTGAGTGGTTAAAAAAAAAAGGCAATGCCACGGTGTTGCCTATATAATCCTGAAAGGTACCACACACACTGACAGCCCAGCAGGGGCGGTCCAATAATAATAATAATAATAATAATAATAATAATAATAATAATAATTTATTATTTGTACCCTGCCCATCTGGCTGGGTTTCCCCAGCCACTCTGGGCGGCTTCCATAGAAACCAAAAATACAATAAAATATCACAGATTAAAAACTTCCCTGAACAGGGCTGCCTTAAGATGTCTTCTAAATGTCAGGTAGTTATTTATCGTTTTGACATCTGATGGGAGGGGGTTCCACAGAGCGGGCGCCACTACCGAGAAGGCCCTCTGCCTGGTTCCCTGTAGCTTTGCTTCTTGCAATGAGGGAACCGCCAGAAGGCCCTTGGCACTGGACCTCAGCGTCCAGGCAGAACGATGGGGGTGGAGACGCTCCTTCAGGTATACTGGTCCGAGGCCGTTTAGGGCTTTAAAGGTCAACACCAGCACTTTGAATTGTGCTTGAAAACGTACTGGGAGCCAATGTAGGTCTTTCAAGACCGGTGTTATGTGGTCTCGGCGGCCGCCCCCAGTCACCAGTCTAGCTGCCGCATTCTGGATTAGTTGTAGTTTCCAAGTCACCTTCAAAGGTAGCCCCACGTAGAGCGCATTGCAGTAGTCCAAGCGAGAGATAACTAGAGCATGCACCACTCTGGCGAGACACTCTGGCGAGACATGGAGGCCCAAGATATTTTGCCACCTGAGGTGAACCACAAAATGGCGTCCTCCCTGCCAGGGAAGAAGGGGTGACTGAGGATCTACATCAGGAACAAGGGAGGAATAAAGGTCCACATCGGGATCTGCTGTCCCTGTTGATCTTGCTGCCTGAGGCAGTCGCGTCAGCTTGCCTCACAGGTGAGCTGGCCCTGAAACCCAGTCTCCCTCTCTTTCATTGCAAAACAATTATTGCCAAACAAACAAACAAACAAACGCAGACAACTTTGTTCAATTTACATACTTGATACTTCCAGCTCCATTATGGCAAGTGGAATCCCGGGCAAGCCCTTGGTGGCAAAAAGCTATCTGGAAAACCCACCTGCAACCAGCCAGAAATTAGGAATCGAATATCATGAGACACTTAATCTCAGGGTTGTGTGTTCGAGCCCCACGTTGGGGATTCCTGCATTGGGGGGTAGACTAGATGTCCCTCATGGTCCCTTCCAACTCTACAGTTCTAAGATTCTGTGAAGACATCTCCTACTGAGTTAGCACATCCAGCCCAGTATTGTCAACAGTTGCTGGAAGTAGCTCTCCAGGGTTTCAAGATTGGAGTCATAGAATCATAGAATCATAGAGTTGGAAGAGACCACAAGGGCCATCGAGTCCAACCCCCTGCCAAGTCTCTCCTTGTCCTTCTTGAAGGTGCCAGCGACTGAAGCCGGGACCTTCTGCATAAAAATGTCACACCATGGAGCTACGACCCAGTATAAACCATTGGTTACTTTTAGTGCAGAGTTTAGACACCCCTAGCTATACCATATAGACCATGTGGACCATATGGACCTAAAGAAGGCTGATCGCTGAAGAATTGATGCTTTTGAATTATGGTGCTGGAGGAGACTCTTGAGAGTCCCATGGACTGCAAGAAGATCAAACCTCTCCATTCTGAAGGAAATCAGCCCTGAGTGCTCACTGGAAGGACAGATCCTGAAGCTGAGGCTCCAATACTTTGGCCACCTCATGAGAAGAGAAAACTCCCTGGAAAAGACCCTGATGTTGCAAAGAGAAGGGGACAACAGAGGACGAGATGGTTGGACAGTGTTCTTGAAGCTACGAACATGAGTTTGACCAAACTGGGAGGCAGTGCCTGGCGTGCTCTGGTCCATGGGGTCATGAAGAGTCAGACACGACTAAACGACTAAACAACAACAAGCTATAAGGTTTGCATCCTAACCCTTCCTCTTAACCCAGTTTGTGCATCTGATTGGATCAAATGGATGACCAATGGGCTGAGTATGCTGCTTGAGGATGCTGGTGCCCACATCCCTGTCACTTTCAGAATTTATTTTTTCTCTCTGTAGTCCTCCTGTGGGGGTAGCAATATATTTTAGCAGCCACATAATTCTGCCTCTTCCCCTGCTCTCATTACAAACAAAACTCCCTTGCTAGGGAGCTTGAGCCATTATTGCAACTGTCCATCTTGAGGTGGAGGTTTTAAGTGACTTGGTGGCTACACTCACAACAACAGAAGCCTCCCTATAGTTTTTGTGCTGCTTTCCTCTAGGTTGAGGCAAACAAGCCCTGTCAGTCTGACGCAAAAGAAGCCACAAATCGGGCTGGCTGCCCTTCCGTTTTCCCCCAATCGCATCCGAGGCACATTGCGAGATCCTCCGCCCGGTAGCCGTCTTCCAGATCTGATAAAGCATCGCACGCAACGCAAGCCCATCCGCTTAAAAGCTCACATGAGTCACCACAACAATCCAATAGCACCGAGCATCAAAATAATTCAGATGGTGAACAGACAGGCATGGTGCAAACCCCATTCCATATCAAGAGATATACAAATCTACAGCTGCGAGAGGCCCTCGTAGCAACGAGCCTCTGCCCACAGGCCTTATGATGTCAAGGCCGAGTGAAGAGAAGGCAAGCAATGCTCAGTTTCCCTCACAGGACTTTTTCTCCAATATCTTATTGGGACTGGGGAGGGGAGAATCAAGGCATCTCTAAATCTTGTTGTGGTATCCACAAAGACAGAAATCCCTGCATCAGCACACAAACAAACTCTTCAGAAATCTTAAATGTCCACCACAAGGCCTCAATATGTCCACACAGTTGCCACAGACACAATCAACTCAGGTTTAATGCACACATCCCAAGACTCCAGCAAGGTCTCAGCTCTGCCGAAAAGAACGAGGAAATCTGTTATAGGCTCTGACTGACTTCGGTCCTTTGTACATGGTTTGTGTCCCTCTGCCCATCAGAGATAACACGCTTGTTGTATATACACGCTCTCTTGCTCTTGACAGATTTTGGCCTCTGTTTCATCTCACCTGCCATGGACAGACTTTCCCTCCCCACCCAACACGAGCACCAAGCCATGTCTACCAGCAGTTTCACAGCAGTCAAAGCCTTTCGCTTTCCAGAGACTGGATCCGAGAAACGGCGACTCACCACTTTGAAGTCGCTGGGGTCACACGGCGTCCCACGGAACGTGCAGGCAAGCAGCATTTCCTGGATGTCGTGGCCGGCTCGGTCGGAGAATTCCCGCATGTTGAAGGGTTTCGGCTTGAAGTTGCGGAAATTGGCCTTCTCCTGGAGGATCTCCAGCTGCTTCTCATCAGCCATTTGGGTGTCTGGGATTTCGTACCTGAAGGAAAACGCACAGCTCAGTCCCAAGGGGAGAAATGGGTCCATTCGAGTCTCCCCGTTTGCTGGGTTGTTTGCTATGTCCACAGGGAGCCACCATGCCCTCTGGTGTCCCTGTGCAAGAGAGGACCAGACAGAGGGCAGTCTAGGAGCACTGCAACGTGGAAGGGTAGGGTCTGAAGTATTCTGGGACATTGCCATTATAGGCAATCGACTGTGAGAAGCTTGCAGCACACAGACATATGTGCAATTAAAGCATGGTGTAATTAAAGCACCGTGTTACCTCTGAGATAATATGCAATGGGTCTCAATTCCTTCCAAGAGCAGTCTGGCATTCTCAAGACTATGCTGTTACTTTTCTCTTTAAAAACTGCAACTGCAACTTGCAAAGGTATAACATCTGGGTGGGTTGGTTTTTTTACATGAGTAACAGGAATGAAGGCAAAAAATGCGGTGGGGTTTTCTTTCTCCTTCCCCCAAACATTTATTTTCTTTCTTTCTTTTTTAGTTAGAGCTTTTTTTATAATACAGTGGTACCTCGGGTTAAGTACTTAATTCGTTCCGGAGGTCCGTTCTTAACCTGAAACTGTTCTTAACCTGAAGCACTACTTAAGCTAATGGGGCCTCCTGCTGCCGCCACGCCACCGGAGCACGATTTCTGTTCTTCTCCTGAAGCAAAGTTCTTAACCTGAAGCACTATTTCTGGGTTAGCAGAGTCTGTAACCTGAAGCGTATGTAACCCGAGCTACCACTGTACAATATATGCATGTTTGCTTAAATCTATGCCAGCTGTGGAATTTTCTGCGCCTGATGGAAAATTTGGGTTATTTTGGTTTAGGTTTTTTAAAATTATTATTAATTGCAAACCAACTAAATCCCGGCATATGGATTAGAAAGAAATTTGGCTTGGCAATTTGCACTTCTTGAAACAGTTTAGGAACCAAAACGCAGTCATCCTCTGACCTTCACACTTCTCCAACTTTTGCAGTGTGGTTCTCCAGGAGCAGCAACAACAAAATGTGTTTTTAAGGTTTGATATTTTACTATGTTTTATATATGCTGTAAACTGCCCAGAGTGGCTGGGGAAACCAAGCAGGGTATATATAAAAAACATATTATTACAAAGATGCATACATCAGGTGACTGTGTGCATAAAAATGCATATATTCATGAAAACATGCAAACAATACGTTATCTTTAGGGAAATGGCTTGCAAAAAGATGTCATTTTGGAGAAAAGTGAACTAGACTGCTAACTGACTTTTGAGAAGACTTCGCAAACTAAGGCAGAGATGTGGAGAACCAAACTTAAGATTGGAAAAATAAGAATCCAAAATTGACAGATTCACCCATCTCTACCGCTCTGCCTGAGGACTCTAAGTATTTCACACCTTTCGCTTTCCCTAACATGGGCGCATCTGCCCAGAGCTCAGGTTCATTTCTGGCACATGAAATCTGTGGGAGAATTCAAGCATCCCCTTTGTGGTATGGGATGAGCCGCTTCCTTATGGACAACTACGATGTCAGTAGGGCACGTAATGGAGGAATTCAGTAGTGGGTGGGGCCAGTGACATCTGCAAATGTAGCATATGGATTGGCCTAAGGAGCCTATATGGTGGCGCTGTGGGTGAAACCACAGAGCCTAGGACTTGCCGATCAGAAGGTCGGCAGTTCGAATCCCCGTGATGGGGTGAGCTCCCGTTGCTCGGTCCCTGCTCCTGCCAACCTAGCAGTTCGAAAGCACGCCAAAGTGCAAGTAGATAAATAGGTACCGCTCTGGCAGAAGGTAAATGGCGTTTCCGTGCGCTGCTCTGGTTCGCCAGAAGCGGCTTAGTCATGCTGGCCACATGACCTGGAAGCTGTACACCGGCTCCCTCGGCCGATAAAACAAGATGAGCGCCGCAACCCCAGAGTCGGTCACGACTGGACCTAAGGGTCAGGGGTCCCTTTACCTTTAAGGAGCCTATGTGAATGATGACACATAATTTGGCTTCTATTGTTATTCTCACACAATCCCTGGAAGAGCCAGACTCAGGACTGTGCCAACATCTCAGATGTTCAAGCCCACTAAGCATGGCTTGTCCCTGGAATGTGGTGGTTGCTATTTTTCTTGTTGCTAACCCGTGTGTAAAAGTCATTTCTTTCTTTCTTTGTGGAAAGCGGTGAATGTTTTGGGTTGGTTTTTTAAAAAAATTAATGATATGTCAAAGCTACTTTATTGATATCTGGCTCTTACATCCAAAATGTCCCTTTGCAGAATCTGTTTTATTAACATGTCTGCAAAAGTACAGGTAACCTTCTGTTTATTTTATTCCAACGGCAATAATGTGCTCCACACAGTTGTTGCTCTCCACTTCCCTTGTGTGTTGTTGTGTTTCAAAACTTAAATACATCTTTTAAAAAATAAAACATTCTTCTTCAACCAGGCCTTTGGCTGATCAATATTGCACAGCCTTTTAAATGCAGCTGTGGAAAGGGGAGGGGGTTATTGTTTTGTTGTTTGGGTTTAATTATTTACTGTGTTTCATCTTGTGTCTTATTCTGTGAACTGCCCCAAGATCTCTTGAAGAAGGGCGGTACATAAATTTAACAAATAATAAAACAGTAGTCAATAAAAATAAATGATATGCCAGAAGACTGGGAAGTTCCTGGAGCAGACAGGCACAGAGGAATAGCCTGGAGGCAGTGGGGCAACTGGGAAACTTTAGATCCTGGACAAAAAAGGATCTTATGGGATGGCCTCTCTTTAGGCCACAGGTTGCCAACATGCGCCCTGTGATTGTACATGTGTCCACAGAGGCCTTCCCTGGTGCCCACAAGGCCTCCTGCCCTCCTCCCGTTGAAATTAGATATATTAAGAAAAAGTTTAATTATGATAAAAGTGTGTATTGGCAATAAGTAATATGAAATCAAAATATGGAATAGACGGGAGGTTGGGTCTTTAGTGTCAAGACCAATATATGTTTTATTGTTTGTTAAGAAAATTATGTGTCTATGGTTATTCCTGTGTGTAATTTGGTATTTGTGTTTTTTCTTTTTTCTTGCTGTATCAATAAAATTTTTAAAAAATAAATAAAAAAGGGGGGGAAAGGAAATTAGACTTGAAAGAAATATTCCATTGTAGGCAATATTGCAGAGTGCAGGCTGTGCTTGGTTGTTGTTGTTGTTGTGTGTGTGTGTGTGTGTGTGTGCTGCCCACAACAGTTCTCCAGTTTGCAAAGGTGCCTGAGGGCTCCAAAAGGTTGGCAACCCCCGTTTTGGATGGTACTAAACTTATTGCAAACTCTGGCAAGTCAGTCCTGCTGCACTGGGGAACCCTGATGCTCCTTCTGCTCAGTGGGGTCCTAGCCTTTTGCACCTTCAAATCCATCCCACCGTTACCTAGAACGAGTTGTCCATTTATTCAGAGAGCGCAGCTGATCTCGGAAGTTTTTAACAGCCAGCAGTACAGGGCTGGCTGACTGGCTGACTCAATTCCAAGGACCAGGAGGTTTCTAGGTTATGATGACAGAGTCTCAAGCTGCCTGCAATAAGCTCCTCCTCCTACCAGTGGCCCTAGTGGTTCAAGGACCAGGGAATCAGAATCTGTCCCGCAGCGCCTGATAGAAATAAAAGATACCACTTTCAGAGATGGCTAGGGCCAGCCACAAAACTACTCAGATGTTACGCAAAATAAGATAAACCCAGTTCTCCAACACAAAATCTCAAATCAAGCAAATTTGACAAGGCATGTGTACATTTTGCTTACTTTGCATAAATGTGATTAATTGTGTGCAGTGTTCTGCATCACACATTGGATCGTAATTTGAAATATTTTTGCATGGAACTGTGCATTGGGAGAAAGATGCAGCAGGCAAGTTGCATGGCTGAAGGAATATAACTGGAACCCACGGGAGTAGGCAGAGCGAGACCAGCAATTATCACAGGCCTTGGGACTTCACACTGCCGGCTTTTCATGAGACCTCACGATCATTAAGGCTGGATGGAGAGATGTGGCTCCACCCCCACCCACAATATCACTTTACTACAATTCTCAGAAATCCAGATTCATCACCAGATGGCACATTTTGCACATAGAGAACTGCATTAGAGAACCATTGCTTCAAACATGTGCACACACAGCCTGCTGCTTCTTCCTTGCTAAAACCCCCTTGCCAAGAGATGATCACAAAAAGAAGGGCATTGCTTATGTTACTTTCATAGACCAGGAAGCTAGAAAGCTGAGCCCCACTACTTGAGACAACAGCTGCCAAGCCCAGTCAAAAACTGTGGACTTCTGTTCCAGAGACCATGAACATCTAGAGAGACAAGCCAGGAGGAACAGCATTCTTTTAGCTTGCTGGTCCATTTTGATTTGGCCACTGCTGGAAGTAGAATGGATCAGACCATCGGCCTGACCCTGGGCAGCTGTTGCCTACAAAATGCTCCACTTTAACTTATGGGTTGTGCTGGCACAAGGTGTAGAAACAGCAAATAGCTTAGACAGCTCGGGGTGAGGAAAGAGAAGAGTTATTAGACAAATGCACAGAGGAGATGTCTATCACAGCTATTAGCTCTGGCGGCTAAACAGACCCTCCATGTTCAGCTGCAGTTATGTCACTTCATTAATACCAAAATTTTGGGACATTGATACCAGGGATGGGCTGCTGCCTTGTAAGTTTCCCAGAAGCTTCTGGCTGGCCATGGATGGAAAAGGAACTCTGGACTAGGACTTCTTGTCCAATCCAGCTGGGATCTTCATATGTTTCTTATGCTCTGAAACAAGAGGCCATCTGCCCAGATGTTATGGCACAGTGGCCTTTGAAATAAGGAGCAGGCTTTAAAAAAAAGGAAGCCCCATTCAAAATGGACCATTCTGCACAACACTGCCTTTTTATACAGCCCAAGATTCTGGTCAACAACAAATCAAAAAATCAGGCACCAGGTAGGACAAGATTCTGCCAAACAGAATGGATTTACAACATCCCCGTTGAGTCAGAGGGATGTGAGAGCATTTGAGCGAGCTGAATTCTGGGCCATCCTGACTTAGAAACCCATGCAAACTTAGCAACAAGACTTTCCTCCCTCCCTCGGCAGTTGGGAATAGAATTGGACCACGGTGCACTGCCAAGGAGTTGCGATTCTCTCCAGCAGAGGGCAGAAAGGTGCCTGGATGAGATGCGGTGAAATCCACATGGGGGTTCTTCCTTAGGGTTCGTGCTCCGGAGCACTTAAGAGCAGTCACTAAAACAAGCAGAGAGCGGCTGCAGCACAGCTCTGCTACAGAGACAAGGCAAAGAAACTCCTGCTGCATAACTCCTGTGCCAGCCAGCCTTCCAGAAAACCCAAAGGGTCTCTTGCCCTCTCGCAAGAGCCACACACAGGTGTGAGTTTTAATGGCCTTATCCCTGGATCTCCTTGAACACACCTGCAGAGAATTGTAAGGGATCGTGCCTGGTAAGAATGCCAGGGTGGGGCCTTCTTCAGGGCCTGTCCAATTGGTCGTAAACGTTACCCTGTTCCCATAGGGACCGGCTCTGTTAAGTACCGGGAAGTGTGTGTGTGTGTGTGTGTGTGTGATGAGGCTTCAGACACAAAAGCGTGAAAAGCTGCATTGATGGAAGGAAGCAATCAGAAGTGCAAGCAGTGCTCACAGCTGTATCCACAGTAGGGGAATAAATCAGTTTTGAAGAGTCTTAAAGGAACATGACTGAAAAAAGGGGTGCCTGGTGCCACGTTGCCAGGGGTGTTTCACCCGCATGTGCAGCACTTGCAAGGAGCCACATGTGCAGCATGTCCAGCGCATGCCACTGGATCTAGCCTGACGTAGGGTGTTTCTGGGCCTGCGGTGTAGCCCATGCAAGTGGCCGGGCATACAAAAATGCACATCTTAAAAGGTGTCAAGCTAGCAAATTCCGATTACAGGCAACTCCCCATTTATGCACCAGTCCGGGAACCGTGTCCATAGAACACACTTTGGTGCACAAAGTCCCCCAACACACACACACACCCCTACACATCGGGTGCACACCGTGCGAGGGCCACAGGTGCCCTAACTGTTGAACGCCAACCTGCAGCGATGTGCGCTTGGGTACCCCGCTCAGCGGGCACGGAGCCCTGCGCCATCGCCCAACCGCCGCACTGGGACCTACCGACTATTGAGGAGGGCCAGCAGCTCACCAGCGTGGTACAGGTCATTCTTGGTCACCCGGCTGAAGCGGAACTCGTTGAGGTTGCAGAAGGTGACGGCCGGGAAGGTCATGTGGGAAGTGGCCACTTCGTCCAGCTTGGTGACGTGCGGGTAGAGGAAGTAGTACTGGATCCTTTCGTTGCACTCGAAGACCAGCATGGCCAAGGAGCCCAGGAAGCAAAGGGTCCAGAAGACGCGCTTGGCGAAGAAGCGCTCGTACGAGAAGATGTGCGAAAGGCCGTGCAGCGTGGAATTGCTGGCGAACGCCTCGATGCTCACCGGCTGCCCGTTCTCCACCTCCTCTTCGTCCACCTTCAGGTCCATCATGGTCAGGCCTGGGACAGGGAAGGAGAAGCAGATCTGTGGGGAGAGACGAGAGGAAAGCGGCGACGCCGGGTGAGCGCCTGCCCTCTTCGGATCCCTCCACACCTGCTCGGGAAGAGAGCTAACCCCGCCACCTCCCCTTCCCCGCCTCCCAAGCCAAGCCGTCGTCTGGGGGAGAGGACGAGATCGACGCCGAGGCGCCCTCCCCTTCCTCTCTGGCTCTTCCCGGTTCCCGGAGAGCACCCCTTCTCCCGGCTGCCCCTTTAACCCGGGGTGTGTGTGTGTGCGCGCGCGTGCTGGGGCTTTATTTCACCCCCGGCTCCATAATCCACTTTGGCCACCACCTCCCTCCCTGCGTATTTGTGGCGCCCCTCTGGAGGCTTCACCAGGGGCAAACAAACCTAGGGCTAGCCCCCTACTCCGCCCCCATCTCCCCAGCGTAGCCACGGCTCTGGTGTGTGGGAATCCCCCCCCCCATTCCTACCCCAACAATTCCCCTCCCCACCCCGCGCGGTCCCGCTTTACGCGCCGAGCATGCAAACCTGGAAGCAGGGCCAGCGTCGGCAGCCGGGAGCTCGCGCTCCGAGGGATGGAATGCTCGCCGGCTGGGCTGGCCGTGCGGGGCTTTTGGAGAGGCTGCGAAGCGCAAAGGCGCACGGCGAGAGCACCAAGGGTACCCGAGCCCAGGCGGCACCTGGCGGCGGCGGGGAGGAGGAGGAGGTGATGGTGGCGGCGGAGAGGATCCTCCTCCTTCTCCCTTCCTGGCTGGAATCAAAGAAAGGCGATCGGGGCCGGAAAGCAGGCAGCTGAGCGCGACTAAGCAGCGGCGGCGGCGGCGCGTGTCTCGGTGCCAAAGCCAGGCATCCTCTCCCCTGGTGGCGAGCGCGGCGGCTGCTCCTCGGGGCGGGGCGGCCGAGGGAGGGAATCGCGCCGGGCTCCGAGGCAGGAGGAGGAGGATCCGCAGGAATTCGCCGCGTCCCCCACGGGAGTCAGGGCCCAAGTGGGCTTGCAGGGCTGGCTGGCCGAGCCGGGAGCCCCTGCGAGAGATCGCCGGGTGGCGGCAGCAGCGGCGAGGCTTGGGCGTCGTGCGAGTGTGTGAGTGCGCGCGCCTGTGCGCGAGGAGGAGGAGAGCGGCTCGCCGCGCTTGGAGGTGCCCAATCTGGGATTGCAGGGGGCGGCGTAGGGTGTGCGCGCCGGCAGCAGGAGCTGTTGCAAGCTGAGGCCGGGGACATGTGTGTGCTAGAGAGAGCGAGAGAAAATCAGAGTCTTCCCCGCTCCCGCAGCGGCCCCCCATTCACGTTTCCTTTTTTCTCTGAACTGATGCCAAAGTCCCGCGTCGTCGGCCTCCCTCCCGCACGCAGAGCGTTCAGAGACCTATTCACGCCATCATTCATTGCGCTTCGGGAGCTCACACGAGCTGACGGTTCGCCCAACGCCGGGCATATTGTTAAATGGTGCTCCCCCGCCCCACAACCCTGGGGCACATAGAATTGTAGATGCGTGACCCCGAGGATCATCTAATCCAACCCCCTGCAATGCAGGAATATGCAGCTGTCCCATACGGGGATCGAACCTGCAACCTTGGCGTTATCAGCACCATGCTCTATCCAGCTGAGTTAAGGTAAAGGTAAAGGGACCCCTGGCCATTAGGTCCAGTGGTGGCCGACTCTGGGGTTGCAGTGCTCATCTCGCTTTATTGGCCGAGGGAGCCGTCATACAGCTTCCGGGTCATGTGGCCAGCATGACTAAGCCGCTTCTGGCGAACCAGAGCAGCGCACGGAAACGCCGTTTACCTTCCTGCCGGAGCAGTACCTATTTATCTACTTGCACTTTGATGTGCTTTCGAACTGCTAGGTGGGCAAGAGCAGGGACCAAGCAACGGGAGCTCACCCCATCGTGGGGGTTCAAACCGCCGACCTGATCAGCAAGTCCTTTTTTTTAAGAGTATTTATTCAAGTTTTAAGATTACAAAAAAAAGAAAAAACAAAACAAGAAAACCAGTCACATACATCTTACAAAAGATACACACCATACCAGGGGAAAAAAAAGAAAAAAGAAAAAAGAGAAAATACACAAGACCAAAAATCACAATAAAAAATAACAAAAAAAGAATTCAAATTTAACAAACCGTTTTCCCATTTACTTATTTCCGTGACTTCCTCTCACTTCTCTGCTTTGTATTCTAATTCAAGTTGTATCTCCAGCAAATCCTTCTAACCTTCTTTTCATTCACTTATTTTAACATTTTAACATTCAAAAATATTTAATTCTCCTCTATCCTTTAGTTTGCACTTCATATTTACTTAATTCCATTATACTCTGTCTGCCAATACGGTCTAATATTTCTTCTCCAACCTTTCCTAACATTCTTTTATGTTACAGTGATTCTGTAAATATATTTTAAACTTTTTCCAATCTTCTTCCATCAACCCTTCTTCTTGATCTCGAATTCTTCCAGTCATCTCAGCCAGTTCCATATAGTCTATCACTTTTCTCTGCCATTCTTCTCGGGTACCTGATCAGCAAGTCCTAGGCTCAGTGGTTTAACCCACAGCGCCACCCGCGTTCCATCCAGCTAAGTTAGCCAGGTCCAAATGTCCGTTCACTGCATCCCCAGGAAAGGTCCGACTTACACCCATGATGCAGGGCTTGCTACTAAGTATATTATACCATGCTGCTTTATCGTGAATAATGTGCCTATACAATACTCCATGTACACGCACAGAGCAGGCTGGGTGTTGCATTCTGACGTTCTCACTCCAAGGTTTCAGGTTTATCCAAAAAACAAAAACCCCAGGGGTGCCAACTTGAATAAAATTTTGGGGTGGGGGCCCAGGTAAGCCTCACCCCTCATAATTGATCACACACAAATTGGTGCGCAGGCACCATTTGAATGGCAATGCCCATCAACTGGGGGGGAGAGGTGCCTCGGCCCCTAGGAGGGGCTCCTATGGTGTATACCTAAATATGTAATAGGCCAAGAGGTCCCTGGGCTTGCACAAGTGGCTCTTTTCATCTTCTCCCTCCCACCCTCAGTAAGAAGGGATGGTATTTGCTGTAGTGCTCAATGCCCATTGAAATGAAGGGAAGGGCTTAGGTCAGGGTAGAGTCCCTTGTTGGATCCCCAACATTTCCTAGCAGACTGGGAGTGACCCTTGTCTAGAATCATGGAGAGCTCCTGCCAGCCAGAGTAGACACTACTCAACTTTTGTTGTTTAGTCGTTTAGTCGTGTCCGACTCTTTGTGACCCCCTGGACCAGAGCACGCCAGGCACTCCTGTCTTCCACTGCCTCCCGCAGTTTGGTCAACTCATGCTGGTAGCTTCGAGAACACTATCCAACCATCTCGTCCTCTGTCATCCCCTTCTCTTTCCCAACATCAGGGTCTTTTCCAGGGAGTCTTCTCTTCTCATGAGGTGGCCAAAGTATTGGAGCCTCAGCTTCAGGATCTGTCCTTCCAGTGAGCACTCAGGGCTGAATTCCTTCAGAATGGATAGGTTTGATCTTCTTGCAGTCCATGGGACTCTCAAGAGTCTCCTCCAGCACCATAATTCAAAAGCATCAATTCTTCGGCGATCAGCCTTCTTTATGGTCCAGCTCTCACTTCCATACATCACTACTGGGAAAACCATAGCTTTAACTATACGGACCTTTGTTGGCACTACTCAACTAGACTGGACAATTGTCTGAATCATTACATGGCAGCTTCTTGTCTTAAAGTGCGCACACACCCCAATCCTGGGAACTGTATCTTGTGAAGGGTTTGGGGATTTGTAGTACTGTGAAGGGGTAGCTTCAATCCCCTGGATTCCTTGTGGGGGTGTGTGTGTGCTTTAATTGAGTTTTAAATGTATGGCATGCACACTGCCCTGGATTCTCCTTGGACAAAATCCAGAAATTAAGCCATGATCAGGAACATCACCCAGATGCAGGTGCTTATTGTACTAGACCAGACGTAGCCATCTTGTTCTTCTCTAGATGTTGCTGGACTCCAGTTACCACCATCCTTAACTATTGGCCATGCAAGGATACTAAAGGAGCTTGCACTTGTAATCCCAGAGCCTTTGTCTGTAATCTTTGAGAATTTTGGGGGACTGTGCAGATTGGAAGCAGGCAAATGTTGCTCCCATCTTCAGTAAGGTGGGTGGAGAGAGAAAAGACCCAGGTATCCACCAAACGATCAGCTTGATGTCAATACCACAAAAGGTCCTAGAATAGATCATTAAACAGCCAGTCTGTGAGCACTTAGAAAAGGATGCTGTGATCACGAAGACACAGCATGGGTTTTCTGGTAGAGTTACAAGTTTGGTGGATCAGGGGAGTGCTGTGGACATAGTGTATCTTGATTTCAAAATAAGGATTTCGACAAAGTCGCCCATGATATTGTGACAAGTGGGGTGCTGCAGGGGTCTGTCCTGGTTCTGTTGTTCAACATCTTTAAAATGACTTGGATGAAGGGATTGAGGGGAAGCTCATCAAATCTGCAGATAACGCTAGATTAGGAGGGTAGCCAATGCTGCAGAATACAGAATCAGGATTCCATATTACTTTAACAGATTGGAGAATTGGGCCCAAACTACCAAAATAAATTTCAGTAGGAACAAATGTAAGGTTCTACACTTAAGCAGGAAGAACCAGCTGCACAGATATAAAATGGGGAACACCTGGCTTGCCAATAATATATGTGAAAAGGATCTGGAGGTCTTAGTAGGCCATAAGCTTAAAAAAAAGCTAATGCTATTCTAGACTGCATCAACAGAAATATAGTGTCCCTGCTCTTTTCTGCCTAGGTCAGACGACACCCAAAGTATTGTGGCTAGTTCAGTTTTTGAAGAATATTGACAAGCTAGAACATGTGCAGAGGAGGGTGACCAAGATGATAAAGGGCCTGGAAACCAAGCCGTATGAGGAATAGTTGAGGGAGTTGAGTATGTTTAGTTTGGAAAAGAGGAGAATGAGAGGAGCTATGATAGCCAAATCTATCTTCAAGTATCTAAAGGGCTGTCACCTGGAAGATGGAGCAATCTTGTTTTCTCCTGCTCTGGAGAGTAGTACCTAGACCAATGGCTTCAAGTTACAAGAAAAGAGATAGTGACTAAACTTCAGGAAGAGCTTTCTGAGAGCTGTTTAGCAGTGGAACAGGCTGCCACAAGAGGTTGTGGACTCTCCTTCCCTGAAGGTTTGTATGCAGAGGTTTGATGGCCATCTGCCATGGATGCTTTAGTTGAGATTCCTGCATTGGACGAGATGGCCATTGAGGTCCCTTTCCAACTCTTCAGTTCTATGATTCTATGAAGCTCTGAAGGGCCACAGGTTTCCCATCACTGTTTCATCCAGCTGTGGAATTCAAAGGCTGGCAGGATGGTTCAGCTTTGCTCAACAACCACTTTCCTGTGATACTGACAAGCTCCCCTCCCTCAGGAGTAAAAGCCGAAACCAAACAGCCAGTCCCTGGTGAGTTCTCATCTAGCAGCAAAAAGCACTCTTTGCTGTGATCTTGCTGCTGTCTGGTTTGGGCTCTATTTGCTGCTGGAGGAAGGAGAGCTTCCCCCGCGTCAGCAGGTGGCTATGTCATGTGCTACGGACCCAATCAGCCATGGTCAGCAGTTCAGTGGAAGACAAACACTGCCTTAGACCCTTGAGAGCACTTGATTAACTTCACATTCTTTCCTGGAACTGAACCAGAGCTGCCATTCATTGCAACAAACCACCACCGCAAGTCTTTTCCCGGTCCAATAGAATCAACAGATTGGGAGGAAGGAGGGAATCAGAATGAAGAGTGCAGGATCCGGGTCTAGGAAAGAAACTCAGGATGGGATATACAGATATTTCCAGTCAATCTTTCTTTTTCTTTTTTTCTTTTTGCAGGGGGTGGGTGGAGAATCTGATTTTCCAGCCCGTACGTGGGATATTATGCTTCGCAGGTTATACCTGTAAAAGCGCAAAGCATGACTTTATCAGCACACTGCTGCGTCCACAGTTTCTAACTCCTGTGCAGATCCAAGATGATATTATCGTGGAGAATGCAAAAAGCGCAGCTTTTCTTTTTGCATGCACTCCTGTGAAAATCAGGCGCCGGGAATCCCTGCTCTCCCCACACGCCACTTCCCCTCAGTGAATGCAGCTGCCCCAGTTAAACATACAACAAATATGTACAGGCTGGGTGGTGAAGGGAACATCTGTGCTTGCTGTGCCACACAGTCTCTGTGCTGTAACTTTAAAAGCCGCACACCGTTTGTGCCTATCTTCTTACTCTGACCCAGTCAGAGGCATCCTGACTGGCTCATGGTGTTTTGACAGAACCAGCCAGAGTCGTCCCAAGGTTAGTCCTCCTCCTGCTCCAGCTGCTGCTGCTGCTGCTGGAGACTGCGTCTCAGTTTCAGGAAGACGAGGGGTTGCAATTCCCAGATATAGGGAAGGGATTTTGCAAATATTCCTGGGATTCAAAACTGGGACTAGGACCCAGGAGTCCTAGCTATCCCCTACCATCTTAAGAAGAAGAAGAAGAGTTTGGATTTGATATCCCGCCTTTCACTCCCTTTAAGGAGTCTCAAAGCGGCTAACATTCTCCTTTTCCTTCCTCCCCCACATTACCATTAAAGGTAAAGGGTAAAGGGACACCTG